ATGATAAAAGCTCAAATTTGAAACTGACTCAAAAATGTTCATCTTTCCAGTACCCAAACGTTGCTCCCCTAAGAGCGGTGGACTTACTGGCTTTTTGACTTTGAGCAGGTCATTCAGACCCTCTAAAGCATGACTGTCTTCATCTGTCTAATGAGAATAAAAATCTCACTTCACAGAGGTGTCGAATTGGTTTTGGAAAATTATATTTTTTTCTAGAAAACTGTCCATTTTATCTGTTTTCAAATGCATTGGAAAACGTTCTTCATAGTATTCTCTTATGATTTTTAAAATCTTTACTATCTGTTGTTATGTGCCTTTTTTTTTTCATTCTAAATATTATTTATCTGTGCCTTCTTTCTTCTTAACCAGTATTGCCAGAGGTTTCTCCATTACATTGGCTTCTCTAAGAACCAACTTACTTTTGTTTTTTGATCCTCTGTAGCATTTCTTTGCTTTGCATTATTTTTTCTCTCTTACCCTTTAATTTCCTTTGTCTGCTTACTCTACAGGCTAACTCTGTTCTAGTTTTAACTTCTTGTGGATCTTTTCAGTTGTTAATTTTAATGTCCTGTTTTCCGTTAAGATTTCTTCTTGGGGCCAGCTTGGTGATGTAGTGGTAAGTTGGCGAGCTCTGCTTCGGCCACCCACTGTTTGCAGGTTCGGATCCTGGGAGCAGACCTATGCACCACTTATCAAGCCATGCTGTGGCAGGCGTCCCACATATAAAATAGAGGAAGACAGGCACGGATGTTAGCCCAGGGCCAATCTTCCTCAGCAAGAAAGAGAAGGATTGGCAACAGATGTTAGCTCAGGGCTAATCTTCCTCATCAAAAGAAAAAAAAAAGATTTCTTCTTCACTCATTAATTAATTTCAAGTTGTTTTTTTTTAAGTTTCCAAACTAAAGTAGAAGGGGTGATAAATATCTTTCTATTGCTATGTAGTGTTATTGCATTTTGGTTAGAAAATATGTTTTGCACAATATTATCTGGATTTACTTAAAATTTATTGAAGTATATATACATTTATGTACATTTTTTTGAATTTATTCCTTGTGCTTGAATATGGTAAATCATTATAAGTGTTCTATGTTTGCCTTTTAGAATGAAATTCTCTGTGCGTTAGGTTCATTATTTAATTTTTTTTTTTTTTTTTTTGTGAGGAAGACCAGCCCTGAGCTAACATCCATGCCAATCCTCCTCTTTTTGCTAAGGAAGACTGGCCCTGGGCTAACATCTGTGCCCATCTTCCTCCACTTTATATGGGATGCCACCACAGCATGGCTTGACAAGCGGTGCGTCAGTGCCCGCCCAGGATCTGAACCCCGGGCCGCCGAAGTAGAGCGTGCGCACTTAACCTCTATGCCATGGGGCCAGCCCCCATTATTTAATTCTTACATCAAGCTTGTTAGTAAGTTTTCCTAATTCTCTAATCTCTGTTATTTTTTTGTCTTCTTGATTTAGCACTTATCTAATTTTTTTCACTCCTTTACTTCCAATCTTTCTATGATTGTCTCTTATAAATGCATACAACTACATTAAAAAAAATCCAGTATGAGGATCTTTGTCTTTAATAGGTATGTTTAGTTGGCTTATTTTTACTGTAATAACAGTTATATTTACACTTAATTTTGCTGGGTTTTTTTGGTGATTTCTCCTAACCATGTTTTTTTCCTGTAATTTCCCCCTTTTCCTATTTTTATTAGTTTGATCGATTCTCTTGTTTCTTCCCCCTCTATTAGTACATATTTTTAAGAGATTACACTCATGTTTTTAACATCTATATTTAACAAGTTGCAAAACTAATTATAATCTCCATTTCTTTCTGTCTAATTATAACCACTACTCTTCTATCTCTGTAAATTTGATGACTCTAGGTACCTCACATTAGTGGAGCCATACGGTATTTGTCTTTTTGTGACTGGCTCATTTCATTTATCATTATGTCTTCAAGGTTTATCCACGCTGTGGTATGTGCCAGAATTTCTTTCCTTTAAGTCTGAATAATATATCATTGTATGTATATACCACATGTTGTTTATCCACCCATCTATCAGTTGAGACTTGGGTTGCTTCCATCTTTTGGCTATCGTCAATAGTGCTGCTGTGAACATGGGTATTCAAATATCTCTTCAGGACCCTACTTTCAATTCTTTTGGATATATATATCCGGAAATGGAGTTGCTAGATGATATGTAATTCTATTTTAAAATTTTGTGAAACCCCGTACTGTTTTCCATGGTGGCTGCACCTTTTTACAATCCCATCAACAGAGCACAGTTGCCAATTCTTCACATCTTCCACAATGTTGCCTTTTTGATAGTAGCCATCCTAATGGGTATGAGGTGGTATCTCACTATAGTTTTGATTTGCATTTCCCTAATGATTAGTGATGTTGAGCAGTTTTTCAGGTGCTTGTTGGCCATCTGTAGATCTTTGGAGAGCTAAATGTTTTCTTTAAATTTTTTAAATTGAAATATAATTGACATATAACATTACATTAGTTTCAGATGTACAATATAACGATGAGAGATATATATATATATTGTGAAATGGTCATCACAATATGTCTAGTTAATATCCATCCACACATAGTTATAAATTTTTTTTCTTGTGATGAGATCTAAATGATTTTTTAAAAAATCTTTTTATTGAAATTTACCAACAGATATAGAAAAGCATGCTGATTGATTTAATGTTTTGTTTCCAACTAATTATGGTGGATTATATGGACAAATGGTTTTCATTATGTTGAAAATTCATAGTTCATCAAAATCATCATACTGTCTCCATCATGAATGGTATTACCATTCCACCTGGTGTTCTTTCAGGAAATAGCTATAGCTAGAGATCAGGACATATGGCTATGAACTGCCTCAATACTCGACCCTGAAATACTATAAATAGTATATCTCAGATGTGAATCCAAGGTAATGGTAGATTTTTCCCTGAGAATTCCATTCCAGGTAATTGTATAAAACCTACCAACGAACTAACAAACGAAAATATAGTGAATGCTGTTTTACCTACAAATGGAAAATCTGCTGTGGGAATTTTTCATGGTGAACACAATCTGCCTTTTCTGCTTTCTTTTTAGCACAGATTGAGGCAACCAACCGCAGTGGCCAAGCTAGGAGGAGGGCTGTTGCTAAGCAGAGAGAAGAGTGAGAAAACCTGTGTTTTTTGGGTAAAGAGTTTGAGATTATTCTAAGAATATCCTACAAACATAAAAGTTCTTTGTATACTTTTAGTTCTTTGTATTTTTCCTCCTTAAGTATTATCTATGCCTCACTTTTCTCTAGTCATTTCTGCAGTCAAGGAATAAAGGTATAAAAATATAAATAGAGTGTAAGAAAAAGTTGAAATAAAAGAAGTAATACACATTTCTGTTAAAAAGTTGTACACTCTGTTATTTGCAAAAAGAACAAAACTCCTATTTTAAGGCCTTTGACCTCTAGACCTTCTACTGAGGATGAGAGAAATATCTAATTTTAGTGTCCCCTTACCATTAGTAGACATTTCTAATAAGTTTATAGGGTAATTCTGTGAAATAAAAGAAAGTGCATACATAGATTTCATAACATGTTCATAATTCTAGACTAGTAACTTTCAGTTTTTTTCTATTGAAAAAAGAATCGTAAGAGTTAAAACCATAAACTATTACACCCAGAAATATTTAATCAATTAACTCTCTCTTGAAGCTTGGCTGATGAAAATTACATACTGGGTGTTTTGTTTTTTTTTAATTTTTTGTTTATTGCAGTAACATTGGTTTATAACATTGTAAAAATTTCAGGTGTACATCATTGTACTTCTATTTCTGCATGGACTACATCATGTTCACCACCAAAATACTAATTACAACCCATCACCACACACATGTACCGAATTATCCCTTTCACCCTCCTCCCTCCCCCATTCCCCTCTGGTAACCACCAATCCAATCTCTGTCCCTATGTGTTTGTTTATTGTTGTTATTATCTACTACTTAATGACATACTGGGTGTTTTTAAAAGAAGCTCTTTCAACTTTTCTTTTTAAGTAATAATTGCATTTCTTTTACATATTTCTTTGTAATTAGTGTATTTAAAATGTGGTCTGGATTTTTCACTCAAGTACCATATAATTTACTTCCACTTCTTTGGAGTAATTCTCTAATAAAATGATTAATGACAACAGTATAATGATTAATCATGATATATTATACATTATAGCTCCTAGGAGATACAAGTACTTTATTACAGATTTCATTGCCTTCATCAGTAGCATAGTACTGGCTCATAAGCCAGACAGGATGAGAATACATTATTCTTTTTATGGGAATTTAAAACTCAAAAGAGGTTAAAGCCATGTCGAATAATATTTGCATGTTTTTGTGTCCATGGATATGAATATTAGTTCGTGAATGTGGGAAATATTTGTTGTATACAAATATTTCATTTATGTGCCTACTACAAACCAATGTGATCTGTCAAAAAGAGAAAGGTTTATAGCTTCCCAGACTGGTGACATGCCAGTGATTACCAACTTTTATCTTTATTTTGTTTAATTTTGCTAAAACTCCAAGAAAGTATTTAAGAAAACAATAGTTCCATGAAAGAATTTAAAGTGATATTAATTCATTTTGACTTGACAGTTTTCTGTCTTTCACTTAAGTTTGGGAGTTTGGAAATTACTCGTGTAGTTAAACAATATGCAATGGGAGAAATTGCCTTGGCAATATTTAGGAACATGGGCCTCAAGATTCCAACTCCTATAGCTTAGGACAGATGTGGGTCTGGAATCTGGATTTCCTGAAGTCTAGGCTCCAGTGCTTTCTACTCTAAGTTTGTGAAACATACAGTTGCAATGTTATGCAATACCGCTTTCCATCAGTATATGCTGCAAAGTAATGTAGTTATGAAGACCAGTTTAAAAGAAGTGCAGTCACTCTGTAAGTTTAAAAATAAGGCTCATTCTGAAATTTGATTGTATAGTCTTATGGTATGCAATGAGTGACATACCTGCCCCAGGCTGCCTCATTTGTAGATGCTTTATTAACTGGAACACAAGAGGAGTCAATGACGGTTGATTTGTTCATTTTGTAGCAGAAACCGCAGTCTGGATCCAACATACATTCATTACAGTAACTGTAAAATGAAAAGAGTTACAGTCATGTTAGCAGAGATGGATTGGTGCTCCTCTGCATTTTCCACTCTACTTTGCAGTAAGGTTGGGGCTATGGGACTAGTTTTGGCCATGGCAAAGTGACCTGTGCTGAGGCAGCTGAGAGCTGGCACGTCCCTTCCATCTCTCCCTCTCCTGGCTGCAGTAACTTCGGAAACAACTTTGAGATGGAAGAGGCTTGGATCCGAGACACTGGATGTAGAAGAACCCCAGTCGACCTGCAGTGAATAAACTCTGGCTTTTCTAAGCCACTGCATGGCCTGGCCCATCATGACCCAGCTGACTCGTTCCAAACTGTACAAAAGCATTTATTTCTCTTAACTGTCTCTGTCATGTACCATATCTTTTACAAATAGAAAATGTTTTTTCCCAATATATATGTATCCTGAAATAGAAAATCCAAATAATGAAAAAAATTCTATCTAAAGAAAAAAGTTAAAACAAAAATACCACCACCCAAATAATGGTTACTGTTAACATCTTGGTGGACATCTGTACTTTTAACAAATATATATTGAGTATCAACTATGTGTTATGCTTAATTTAAAAGAAGTTGGTGTAGGAAAAAAGGCTAACTTTTCTTTAAGTTAATTACATATACAGGTTGGATCACAGGGCTAAAATCAATTAATCATTGCTCACCTAACAGCAGTATCCTAACTGCAGGAAAATTCTAAAGAGGCAAAATCCTTTAGAGGGCAGAGTTTTCCCACCTAAGCCTACGGCGTGCTTGCAGAATGAGTTTTCTTGCTGTCACCTCATTTGCTAGACAATTCTGGAGCACCTCACATACATGGCAGGCACACACAAGGCACTGGAGACACTAAGATGAATGAACCAAAGTTCCTGCTCCTTGGTAGATAAAAGGCAAGGATGAGAAACAGATACACAAGGAAATAATGTCAGTGTAATAGAAAATACTTATCAACCACTCCAAGGACAGAGGCCTGTTCATTTGCCTATAAGAGGGGGGATAATTTCAGAGGTGATACTTGAACTGGATCATGAAAGAAATTTACCAGGCAAAGAGGTAGAGGGAAGGGCATTTCAGAGAACTGCTTATTTTACAATTCAGGATCAGTCAGTACAGACTTATTAAATATCTACTGTGTATAACAGGGTAAGAACAACTAAAAGTTATCCAAAAAAGACATGAATCCTCAAAATCAACATACTTCTCTGATTCATTTAGCTAAATGGGAAAACACTGACATTGTTTAGAAATTAGATTATCATTTCAGCCCTCTTCTGTAAACTTTTCTTTTGCAAACAGCCGTCCCTATTTTTAGATGAGACTTCAGCCCTACACTAAAAGCCAAAAGGAGGCCTTTCAAAGCCTCCTGAAAGGTCAACGTACTTTAGAGAGGAGATACAGCACTGTAAATATAAAACTGTCCACACCTGTGATACAAAATAAACAAAACAACAGAAAGCACTAGAAGTACTCTGAGCTTCTGGCTTTGAGAACTAGACGAGGCTCATTTGGAAAGGAAGATAATTCCTACTAGTATTTTGTTTATTCTGCCCATATGAGATGGAATCTATCAACCTTGACAGTTTCAATGGCTTTAAATGATATTTATTTGGGAAAGGTCAACTCACCCATTTGCAGGGAAATGACTCTACTTTACTTCTTTAAAAATAAGTAATTCTTATAAAAGGCCAAAAAACATAATGATAAAGGCTAAGAGGTACGGAGAACACGCCATATGTATGTGTCAGACATACGAGGTGTTATTCATAATGTTCGCCTTTGCCATCGCTTATGCAAGCATCCAACTCTGACGACAACCTCCCATTCTCCCAGCTTGCTTATTAGACGATCCCCACTCTGCCATGATCATTCATTCAACAAACACAAATATTTTATACTTACCATGTGCCAGGCACTATTCCAGGGGCTGGGACACATTAGTGAACAAAACAGATTCCCTGCCCCTGTGGAGCTGATTTGCATATTAAACCTCCTGGTGACCTCCAGTTAGTTGACCTCTCTACTTGCTCCCTGTTCATTAGCTTTTCCTTTCTTTACTTCCATCCTTATCTAGCTTATTGACCATGGCCCACCATTTCAACATCCTAAATTTCCCTACCCATTTATCTTTCCATCTCACCCATCTAACAAAAATCCTAGCCATATATGTATGCAAACATTTGCCTTTTCTGTGCCTTCACCCACATACCCAAATGCAGATGAAGGAATTACACAACAGAGCAGATCAGTAGTTCTCCTATAATACACTACTACTAGCCTCAAAAGGATCCTCAACAGCCTGAAATTCTTAATAGTTTTCTCTAGTTAACGCCATACAAGGACTATTTCAACCACCCTACATAAGGACTATTCTTCAAATCTCCAATGTTCCATTTCCCTTTACTCTCTGCAAATGACCTCAACTCCAGCTTTACAGAAAAAATAGAGGAAAATGGTAAAGATGGGAACTTTATAATCCTATAGTAAAAACATATAAAACATCCTACTTTCCCATGTTCCAGTTACAAAGAGAAACTGTTCTTACCTAAGGCCAACTTCTCAGTATCTGGGTTTTCATTCCATTTCATCTCCTTAGGCCATTTCAGACTCTTTTGATTACTGCCCCTTCTTTCTCTTACATATCCACTGTCTTAAGGCAGATTAGATTTTTGATTTGATATCTTTCTTCTTCTTCTTTTTAAAAAATCTTTCTTCTTTTTTAATATAGGCATTTATAGCTATAATTTTCTCTCTTACTGCTCATTTAGTTGCATCCTATATTTGGTATGTTGTGTTTTCATTTTCATTCATCTCAAAGTATTTTCTAATTTCCCTTGTGATGTCTTCTTTGATCCACTGGATTAAGAAGTGTGTTATTTAATTTTCACATATTTGTGAATTTCTCAAATTTCTTTATGTTAGTGATCTCTAATTTCACTCCATTGTGATCAGAAAACATACTTTGTCTGATTTCAGTCCTTTTAAAATTTATTGAGGCTCATTTTACAGCCTGGCATAGATCTTTCCTGGAGAATGTTCCTTGTGCGCCTAAGAAAATGTGTATTCTTATGGTGGTGGAATGTTCTCTAGATGTGTTAGATCTTGATTAGTGTGACAGTCAACACACTAATCTTAAAGGTAGCCCCATGGTTTCTAACCGTCTTCACCTCTACTTAACTTTGGGTACATCCCAGAAATTGTTATCATCTAAAACAGGAGTCAGCAAACTACACCTCGCAAGACAAATCCAGACCACCACATGTTTTTGTAAATAAAGTTTTACTGGAACAGGGCCATGCCCATTCGTTTACTTACTGTCTATGACTGCCTTTAAGCTTCAAGGGCAGAGCTGAGAAGTTCTAACAAATCCACATGGCCTGCAAAGCCACAAATATTTACTATCTGGCCCTTTACGGGGAGTTTGCGGATCCCTGATCTAGAACACATACACAGATCCCATATGCAGATTCCTCACTCCTTTCCTTCAAGATCTCTCACTTCTTTACTCCTGAAAAGGACAACTGCCCTTCTACCTCAGAGAACTTCCACACCCTTTTTTTCCTGATCCTTCACTCACTTCATAGCTTTGAATCCTTTTCTGTCAAACTCTCATGGGAAATCCCTTTAACCACTCTCACCAGACCCTCAAAGTCTTTGTACTTAGGTCCTTCTACGAAGTCACCCTATAAACTTTTACGTTTGACTCTTTCCAACCATCTTTCTTCTTTCTTTCTACATATAGGTTGCTCTGTACTAGTGGAGAATTAACACAACCAGGCATACTGATAAAAGTACACATTCACAGTAGTCAACCACAGCTGGATCCTCACTGCTGCCAGGGAACTTTTACCTGTCCCCAATCAGTGACTTTCTGCACTCCCACAACTGGTATCCCAAATACTCACAACTCGCCTCCAACCCCAATGCTTATTCCCCCACGAATATCTTAGAAGATGGCCTTGTCTTAGTTCACAGTGAAAACCAAAGGGACTAGGCAAGAACTTTCTGAACTGTAAACTCAGACATGAACAAAGATATCTATAGGCACGTCTACCCTCACCTCTTTTCCTACAGGCTCTGAAAAAGAGATGTTCAAAGATCAACCCTCTACTGGGGCTTTTAATCTCACTTCCTCTGGTCTTCAGCAGGACCAATGCCTTGTCCCACTGGTTATCTTCTTTTTATACTGTCAAACCTCTCCCAGAACATATCCCACAGTTTATGTGCAGGCTCAAGCCTTTCCCAAATTAAAAAAAGCATAAAAAACTGTTCTTTCTACTATGCCATACTAGTTCATAGGGGTCACTCAGTGAAAAGAGGCCAGGTATTAAAAAGTGTTCAATTTCCTTGCTGTCCCAGGGAGTGGGCCATTATTTGGGAATTGACATGACCAGCTCTCATCTGGCCTTAGAGCCTCTCAGGCTTCTGGAGGCAAGATAAGATTTTCCTACCACTCCCACACCCTTGACCTGGATTTTTTTCTTCATCATATAGACTATTTTATAGCAAAATTCTCCCAAATGTAACATTTCTAACTTCAACTTGACATTTAAAAGGTAACACAAAACTTTAAATATCCTGGAGAATCTGCTAATTGACCTTTTACAGACAGCATATATTATAACTGTGGCTTTAACAAATGGCATTAAAAAAGGGAACAACTCTGGAAGTAGCCATTTTTTATTCATGATTTGTTCTTTAAGGCTTTCTTGAACATGACCTGATCAATTTAGGTAAGGTTTTCTAAATATAAAAGCTGAGAATTTAAATATATTGGCACCAAATCAATGCTCATAAGAATATGCTAAGCATAGATTAAAACATTTTTTTTGTGCAAAGCAGACTGGCATATTTGCCCCATTTACCCCTTTCACAGTGTGACCTGGGGTGAGTTCTAAATTCTCAACTTCAAGTTTTCCATCCCAAAAGCACATGATCTCTAAGAACCCACCCAGCTGCAAGATTCTACATGAGAGAAAACGACAGCAA